TCTGTCCGACAGCTGGCTACTACAAAGTGGGATACGGTTCTGGCTTGCTTGCCACTTTTCTCACTACGTATGACGTGAAAATGGGGGAATTTTTTTATAACGGTTGAAAAAACCCAAGTCTTCGGTGCGTACGCGCTTTAAAACGGTACGATCATTCAAGGGAGGAAAAGCTCTATGCATGAGTGTTTCATTTTCTTCAGAAGCGTTGGCGGCCACTCACCACGAAGCCCAGTGAGGGGACGCTACAAGTTTGCGGATGCTAAAACCTGCAGACGCCAGTCGTACAATGCAACTATAACCCAATGCGCCTAGACCAAGGTAGGCTATTTGCACCGGGTTAACCCTTGCCGCCAGGAAAATTGGAAGTAAACAGAAGAGATAAGTTGACAGGACAGACTAAAAGTGAGAGATAAAGACGAAGTTGTAGAGGAGAGAGATAGGAAAAGGCGACTGCCGATTAGCCCTGGGTGGGTCAGCCCAGGGTTGCCGCCTACGTGACGCCGGGGCCAAATGGGTGTGTTGCCTCTGCAGGGGGGCCTTAAGTGCCAACCACTGGCACGCGTATGCTCGTGTCTACGCGTCAAAAGCGTCAAATGCGCTTCTCGGCACCGGCGTCGGAGGGGAATACGCGAGGAGGCGCGGGAATCAAGCCGGTCTTGATATTTGTGCCGCGCGTACGCCACGTCACCACGCGTAGAGTGGTGCCAACCAACCAGGGGCCGCGCGTCAACCAACCAGAGGCCGCGATGCCTCCAAACGTTATGCCTAATGGCCGCCTCTTCGAAGGCACGGCTGAGTGGTGGAAGCAAGCATGGGAACTACTCCAAACGTTCCTGAATGACCGCTTCGTAATCTAGAACGACAATAACACGACGAACGACTGTGAGTGCTACCAGTGTGACGTGGTTTCGTGCCGTCTTCAAGCGACGCCGACAAATCCAGCGAATCCCGGCTGGCTGGCTTGCGCCGGTCCTGAGTGCAATCGTCGGCCGAGCGAAAACATTGTTCAGACTACTGGAGCATGTCGGTGTTCCTGTGCTTTTAACTGTGATTTTCTGTGCTAAAAATGAGGGCAAACAGACTTCGGGGGTTTGAAGCTTTGAGCGTGAGTCCTCACCTACCACGGAGGCAATTCAGAGCGGTGTCATCTGCATCCAGTGTAGGCCTCTACCGTCTAGTTCGTATGAATCAGCACAAGCGAGGAACATCGACTGAAAAAAATCTACGGTAGTTTCTGTCGCAACAAGACACCATATACGACGCCCGAAACATCGCGTAGTGCATACGGAGGAGTTTTTATCTGCACTGTGTTTGTTTTCCACATCGGTATTCATCATCGCTGAAAGAGAACCTCGCACTAGCCAGCACATTTCGGTGATGTCAAATCGTACGTGCTTATATAAGTATTCGCGAATTGTATGACGCTGGAACATTCGTTGGCTTCGGTGCAAATCAATCTCGTGTGTTGCCAAACTAATAACAAGCGTGCGCTGGTTGGTAGCAGTGTGATGTGATTTCGTGTCAGGTACCAGCGACGCTGACACATTTAGCTGTCAGCGGTCTCATGGCTATTCATGTACAAGGTAGAAACTCGAGCGGGCGTTGCTGTGGTGATCGAAAAAGAAAGTTGCATGATTGAGTGCTGCTGGTATTGCCTGCTATTTCACTTCTCGCTTGTTCTGCTTCTCTGCCACGCTCAGTGGCACATACGTTGTTTGGAGGCATTCTAACACATACATTCTTATTTTATAGTTCATTCTGATACTCATAGCTATAGGCATATAATGGCGCTTTTCCGTCGTTTTACTGTTTACTATAATATAACGCGCGTTTTGTTTACAGCTGGAATGGTTACTGAAATTATTGGGAGAAGCACCTGATTTAAAATGAGCTGCACGATGACACGATAGTAGGAAGAGAAGGTCACCACATGTATGCCCAGAATGAATGAAGGTGCACTAGTACTTTACTGCACTTTGTATAGAAGAAATGTAAAAAGTACCTCATGTGACTTATGCGACCTTTCAGAGCTGTGCATGTGTTTATCTGTTCCTCCAGACTGTAATGAGCTGAAGATATTATTAGATGGTTTCGAACATTGAATCTTTGTGTTTTCAAGGACTGCTTCATTTCTGTTCAGTTTTTTAGTATACACATTAACTTTGACTATATATACATGCACTTAAGCATATTCAAAATATCAAGATACTCAGTTTAGCTATGTTATAAAACTTGCCAAATATTCTGTCCGGTGCTCTGGTGCAATCCTATGACCGGTATCTGTCCCATCAAAAATTTTGGGCATGCTTTATAGCATTATAGGATATTCTGACTATTGATGACATGTGAAAGCCTTCTTTCTACACAGTGGCTGGCTGCTATCTCAAAACCAATCTCTTTGTCATCAAGAAGTGTTAGATGCATTTTGTAGATGTTAAAAGATATTTAAGCTTGCATCAAAGCACAGAAACTTTCAACCCAGCACTGATCTGCAATCACAATCCAGCTTAGAAGCAATTTATAGTGCTCTCCAACACGTTCAACTAAAGTTATCAAACATTGGAATGATCTACTTGGTTCGGTTCGTGATACCACAGTGTCTGACTTTTTGGAGGCACTTGTATCATAATAATGTTCTATTTCTCTCACTTCTTACCGGGGTGCACTCAGCGGGTAGTGATATTTGTTTACCTTGGCACACTTATTGTGATATTACTGTTTGAATGCTTTCATTTTGTATATATGTGCACCACTCCTGCAGTAGCCTAACATTGGGCTGCCGTATTTGAAAACAAATAAATATACCATCCGAAAGTGTTCCACGCTGTGCTTGGTTCTAATCTGATCACTAATATATGTTGCATCATGATGTGTCGGGTGGGTTTCATTGCATTAGGTACATTTTGGCTGCCTTCTATATAGGGTTCAGTTCCAGTATTCTTTATTCTTTATTCTTTATTCGGTGAGTGCCCCGCTTTGCTCAAAAAGGCGTTACAGCAGGGGGGTTAGAGACTGAAATAAAACAATTCTTCGTTTATAAAGCACACTTGCTTGTCTTGCAGCCGATATCTGTGACCGATATGATGACCGATATCTGTGACTTCATTAAGAGTTGGGTGCAGTTTGTCGTTTTAGAGAATACTTACTCTACAGACAACGTCCAGAAGTCTTCCATACAGGGTTCAGTTGCAGTCTTATGAACAATATCTGTCTTATCATGAAAGTTTCAGGTACAGTTAGTTGTGTTAGAGCATATTTTGACTACAAAAAATGGCCAAAGGCATTCTACGTAGTGCTTGGATCCATTCTTATGACCAGTATCTGTTGTATCATTAAAAGCCAGGTGCAGTTTCTTGCATTCGAAGATATTTCCAATACGCTTATCATTTGAAAGCTGTCCACACAGGGCACAATTACAGCCTCATAACCTAAATCCGTCACATCATGAAGAGTAGGGTATGGGTTGTTACATTGGAGAGCATTTCGGCTGCAGACAACGTTCAAAAGCCTTCTATACAGGGTTCAGTTCCAATATTATGACCGATATCTGTGACTTCATGAAGTGTCAGGCACAGTTAGTTCCATTAGAGCACATTTCGACAATAGAAAATACCCAAAGAAATTCTATGCAGTATTTGTTTCCTATCTTATGACCAATATCTGTTGTATCAATAAGAACCAGGTGTGCTTTGTTGCATTACAGGATGTTTCTTACACACACACACAAGTTGTAAGCCTGCTACTCTGGCCTCAACTGTAGTCTCATGACTTAAATCTGTCAGATCATGAAGTTTCAGGCATGGTTATTAAGTTGAGTGCAATAGAATATGAAGTGTAAATATACTGAAGGAACCAGCATATTCACGATATTGTTAATAATTTGGTAGTGCAGGTATAGAAACCCGGTGGTTTGTAAACCTGATTAGGAGGGCAGCCGCTGCCTCATTCACCAAAGAGAGGAGGGGGGGCGCAATGTCAACTCTATATATTAACATAATAGGGAGGGGGCGCTAAGTCAGCCCCTACATGGACATAATAGGAAGGGGGAGGGGCACTGCGACGAACTTTTGCCCCCCCCCTCTCTTAAGGAGAACCCTGCACACGCCTCTGATAGACGTACAGTATCCTAGACGCGAATGTTCATTCGCGGGAGCGGCGCACGCACCGATGTTGATTTCTGGTACATACCACTATAGTGACTTTGGGCAATGGAATGCCAATTACTTCTAAAATAGTCTAAACTGTGGTGGGTGAGCACTGTCAATTTTTCAACGTGTTCTCAAACCCTCTAAAACATACAAACCCGCTCCAGTTAAGAACGTGCCGTTCTGTGCTGAACTTGGACAGTTCTAAGCCAAAATATCAAGCAACGTTGCGCTTCGGCGTTCGACGCGTGGGTGTCAACGCGGTTGAAGCGTGCCGGTGGTTGCACGCCTTTTTTCCCCACAGGCGCGACTAGACGCTTTTGACGCGTAGGCGCGTGCATACGCGTGCCAGTGGTTGGCACTTTAAAGGTCCGATATCACCCAGCGTCAGCTCAACCCCCAGGATCCCCTTTTCCCCGGACACGGCAAAGCCATGCGCGGCTAGGCGTGGAAGGGAGCCCCCCCCCCCCCCCCCCGTTAGCTCGGGTCCGTGGTGTCGCTACACACCAAACGCCTGCTTTCACGGGCGCCCCGGCAGGGACCTAGGGCTGTCTCAGGCGTTTAACATAACTGTTAGTTTCACAAAAATAAGTCTGGAAGAATAATTATTAAGAAAAATTAGCCCAAATAAAAAAGGCGACAAGAAACACACGCAAGAAGACACGGACAAGCGATACACACAGATGTTGAAAAGCACAGAAGAGTTGTTATATTCATTGTCGTTTTTTTTTCATATGCGTAAATTGACCTCGAACAGTTATGCGTGATCAACTAGCTTAACAATCAGTTGTTTTACGGTTCTAATAAATCTCATGCATGCACGGCGTAATTCTCAAAGGAATTATCATTGCTTACGAGGTTGCCTTCGTTGAGTGGTGAAGGTCTTTCCCCAGCCGGCAATGATGCAGTAGCTGCCGCCAGTGTAGGTGTCTTGCTTCGTCGGTAGACACACGGGCTTGACGTACTCGTTGAATAATATGCGGTGTTGCGCAGTAGTGCGAATTTTCAGCAGGCAGATGTCGTTGTAGAAGGTGTCTGCTCGATAACCATGTGTGTAACAAACAAAAAAGTTACTGTCACAGACGGCGCATTATAGGCAGAACTCGTTCGTGCATGGGAGATTTTCGCAATGAAATGATGAGTGGTTTGGCTTTATTCCCCTTATGAAACTTGCATCACTTTACCCATACTCGAAGGACAAGTCAAGACATTAAGGAAACAAAGCACGCAATTCCATTTTGTCAAGTGCTTCACTGACAAAATACAAAAGTAAATAAATATATAAATAAGTAAATAATTAAATGTTGTTACTCCATATGAACTGATAATCGGCATGGACACAACATGAAACGCAGCTTTCCAAGTAAACAAATAAAATGAAGGCGAGGGTGATTGCCTACAAATACTGCCTACAAACACAGGTGTGTATGCAGCATGATTACCGCGGACTTTTCGCAATTGACTCGGCAGGTTTCTCTTCTACTCTTTTCGTTCAGAAGCTCAGTTTGTAGTGACCCAAGCGCTCCCCTTTGACTCACGGGATTTTCCAACTCCCTCCTACCTTGGTACAAAGAGAAATGAGAAAGCGGCAAGAAGAGTAGCACGTCCGGTATCGACATGTTTTTCGAATCCTGATACCGAATACTATTCACAAGTGACCCAAACGCAAGCCATTGTAAAGACCTTGATTGAAACAATTTTCTTGTAACTCGCCCTCTCACCGGTATGACGACGTTATTCAATGTCCCGGCACTTGCCGTAGTACATATTGTCCCTCCAGCTCACCCAAACATGTGAGCTTCGGACCTTATTTTGAGTCATTCAACGAGAAAAACGAGTCTACAAGAACTGCACCGCTATTCAACGTTTACCATGTTGCCGTCATTGAGTGATGAAAGTGTGTGCGTATGTAGGGGTGGGTGCGTGTTACTTTAAAGGTATTGTAATTTACATTATTAACTGTCAAAACACATTACATGTCCTCATTGTCTATACGACACTCTGCTAATAATAAATAAGAAAAGAAGAACTTTTTAACACACTTCATTGCTCATATTTTTTGTAAGGCTTTCCCCCCTGAATTGCATAGCTATACTGAGTAGATTGCAAAGAAACACACGCTGCCTAATCACTCAGTCTTGTGAAGAAGAGCTTTCTATCTAATCTCCACCTGTCTTTCGCTTTCTCGCGCGGTTTGCTTCACATATGCCTACAATAGATTAATAAAGCGTGAAGAAAAATAACACAGTTTCACCGCAAGGGCGAAGCGAATGTCACCTCAACAAATCAGAAAGTTCAACGAAGTAAGGATGCCAGCTAACGCTTTTAGGATGCAATCTTACATAACTAAACACAGCGCTGGAGTGCAGCAAGTGATTTTGTACTGGCTATCAGTTTAACTCGAAGTAAGCGGTACATCACAGCATCTGCACAGTTAAATGCTGTCTGTTGAAGACCTCTAGTTGATTGGTTGATATGTGGGGTTTAACGTCCTAAAGCCACCATGTGACTATGAGAGACACCTTAGTGAAGTACTCGGGAAATTTCTACCCCCTGGGGTTCTTTAACGTGCACCCAAATCTGAGCACACAGGCGCACAACATTTCCGCCTCCATCGAAAATGCAGCCGCTACAGTCGGAATTCAATCCCGCGGCCTGCGGGTCAGCAGCCGAGTACTTCAGCAACTAGACCACCATGGCGGCCACCATCCCTTCTCGCCAAGGAGATGGGCGGCTCTTTCTATGCCAACCACGTTCGTCCACAACGCTCGTGGGCAGAACATACGAGGCGCGAGACAATGTTGTTGATTCGAATTTTATACGGAACATGACGGCGACGGCCACACCCACTGGTAGTGCCCATATAATCACTATCGTAACAAAGCTAATACCGAGGGAGAGAAAAAAATCATTCTTTATGTGTTCCCTTAAGAGGACTCGAGAGCAAAATAATCCTGCGAATCTATCTTACCGTGCACTTTTATCACGCAAATGCTGATTTTCAGTTTTTTAGTTATGACAGCAGGAAGCATAAAAACTGTAAGACAGAATACATAGAAAGTTAGAAACTGTCTAATCAAACATTTTCAAAAAAATCAACAACCATTCATTGCAATTCATCACCCAGCTTGGGGCTCCTGAAGTTAAATAAATAGTCTTGCTAAGCAGGATACTTCAATAGTGTGACTTCACCCATGATATTTACAGCAACATAAATTTGGTTGGTTGCCACACAGTTCATCTGGATATTGTTAAATTCTGTCAGAAAATGGCTGGGGCACCCTGTATACATTAAAAGTTGAGTACCTACTTGTTATTTAATTATCCAAGCTCAACGCCATGATGCACGTTAGGTACCTCAACAAGACTAAATGTTATGATAACTCTTTAAGATTGATGAGACGCCTATACCCGTATTTTTTAGAGCTTGGCATTGATCCTCCTAACTGTAGGTAGCTACAGTTACTAGTAAAATGTGCTAACCAAAGTGACAGTAAAAAAAGTGACTTGGCGATGACGGACGCTCTGATCTACAAAATATTTGGGCCTAACGAATGCGCCGTTCCCCTACACTTTTTTTTTCATTTTGAGCCCATGACGTGTATTTGGATAACCACAGGGCGGGCGTTACAAAGAGGTTTACCTTGACTGTACATCCTCTGTATGAGTGCATCCTCTCTGTGAACTTATTAGTTAACCCTAAATTGGCCAGATTTCAATGTAAATAATTTGTCGCACTAGGCACTGTAAATTGTTTGGTATGAACAAGTGGCATGCCGTTTCACCTGGATTGAAATCTCTGTGAACACGCATGGCCTCGACCTGGAACTCGAGCTCGTAAGGGTCGGGTGCGTAGAGCTTGTACTGTCCCACGCGCACGACCAGTTGTGACACGTTCGGCGAAAACCTGCCGGGAACGCAAGAATGAAAAAAAGCACGTTGATTGTGAGCACACTGTGATCATCTATAATAATATCTTCGTCGTAAAACGACTGATTGGTCCACACAAGTGGTTCTTTTTTAATCTTCAAACAGCTGTGGCACTTAGTACGCTATAACACGATATTTAGTAACCACATCAGCTGGATGGATTTGCCCAGAAGGGAAGAAATGAAGCGCACGTACTTGAAGCAATGCGCAGCAGTAAGAATCAAGTCGTGGGTCAGGATGGTGCCTCCGCACCAGTGCAGTGTCTCCCCTGAGAGGTCGCGCAGACGCACGTCCACCAACCAAGGGTGGGCGCCATAATGGGCTGGTATGCCGTCAACAATGCGCCCGGTGATGCGTCTTCTCGGTGACCTGGCTACACGAGGGCGAATTAAATTAAAATTAACAGTAAAGACAATAGAGCTACGTTGGAAATTGCTTTAATTACGTCTTATTACCTCAATAACTTGATAGTCAACACTCGAAGCATCATTACGAATTGGTAATATAGCCAGCACTGTTTGACAGTATTGTGTCGTGAATTGCCAGTCGGTAGATCAGTCTATAGAACAGTTACGTTACGCATTTAAAATAGCAGTTTCAGCGCTGGTAGTTCAGTTCCGAGCCCGAGCAGAGAGCGATCTTCCTTCGTCCGGTGCAGACGCGCATGATTCAAAGAGCTGGCAATATGCATGTACAGTATTAGACAGTTTATAGGTTATCGTTAGCGTGATAGCTGAAGTTGAGGGAATGGCGTTACCAAGCAGCAAACGTTTGTTGTGGACATCATCCTATAGTTTAGCGGTATAGCGTTTACGTGGTTTACGTGGCCTCAGCTGGGATGGTGGTGCCACCTATTGGAGGGTTGAGAAGTAAGAACAGTAAAAAGGAAAAGAAAACAAAATTGTTTGCCTATGTCATCTCGCGAAGCATTGATACAAGTGTATTTTAGCAATACTAAAAGTAAATAATTGTGAACCACGCATCAAACGCGAAAACAATTATGTTGCCGATTTGGTTACAGTGATCTTGCAGTTAGGTCAACACACGTTTGAAATGAGAAGCGACCTCAAAAACTAGGCCAACTTATCCGTAATAATTGGTCCTAGAAGCTGACTCAAGGCAAGCAAAGCCATTTTAAACAGTCGTTTGCTGCGAACAAAGTGAATTTTTCAACACTATGCTAGAATAACATCAAAGCAAGCATCCGAGAGCACTGCCGTGTTTTACGTACACTACATACACCAACGCTAACACGGTAACGTTAAATCTGAAAAATAGAGCGTGTACGGTAAGCGGTACAGGTAACGTACATATCTGCGCGTGCGCACTTCTATTTCCCAATCACGGTACGCCCGGTATACCGGTAAGCCTGGTATGCCATTACTGTCTATTATTACGAGTAAAGACTGTGAACAAGCCGCAAACAGCACAGACACAAAAGGCCGTTGACTTCACACAAATTTGGGCACCTCATTTCTGTCTTGCATTGTCTAAGAGTAACGCATTAAAATCGAAACGTGACGCACCATGGCAGCGCCGGGGCTACTATAGGTACGGATTCGATTGCTTTCGATGGCTGCCGCATTTCGATGTGCGCAAAGCCTGACTAACTTGGGATTGAGTACAAACTACACGAAATAAATCTATAATTTTCGAGATGAATATCAGGAAGTTTCTCCGCACCAGATTATTAAAACTTTGCATATACCGAGAAAACGTGACTGCTGATTAGGGCTGCTTAAGTGTGGGATCTGGAGGTGAGAAGATGGAAGAAAGGTGATCGCCATTCTGTACTTCTTTCTGTGCTTCGTTAATAGGGCCTCTCACTTGTTTTTTGCTTATTGCTACGTTTCTTTTTTCAAGTTTTGTTATCGCCCCAATACACTACACAATTCTCAGTGCAAACCCCGCCTGCAGTTTTCGAGAAGCTTCAGGAGTGTAGTAGATAATTTCGAAAAGCTCACGCCAGCTCCGCGAACTGTACAGATTATTCTGGAACCTACGTCACCGCTAGCGACAACGCTAGAACATTCGATGGCAATTGTATAAGTGCCGATGTGTTTCGCCGCTTGTCAGTTGATCGATGGCCGATGCTGCATGCACCGCTATCAGTGCAAGTGTGCTACCGTAACCAGACTTTCCGTTGAGTGGGAACAGGTTTGCCCAAATAAACAGTTTAGTCTGACCATTCCGTCTCCTGCCTTCAACCATGTCACGACCCCGTGACATCTTGTGAAGGTGCTGCTTCGTTCATGTACCGGACACCCCCGTCAAGCCACGAACCCAGCCCACGTCACGGAGGAGACACCGACGCCAACCAGGAGCTGCGAACAAGCCGCCGGCAGCAATGTCTACCACAGGAGCAAGGTCCTCTACAACACAAGGCGCGGAAGACCAAGGCCATAACTTCTACTGCGCCGACAATGACCACCGCAGCGTCCCAGCCTGCTATCGTCATGCATCAACCCAAGGAACCACCAACTTTCCGTGGGTCGTCGTTCGAAGACCCGGAGACCTAGCTAGAGACATACGACCACGTGGCCGCCATCAACCACTGGGACACTGAAGAAAAGCTCCGTCTTGTGTACTTGTACCTGGAAGACACCGCATGGACTTGGCTCGAAAATCGGGAGTCTGCGCTTCAAACGTGGGAGATCTCCTGCAGCGCATTCCTGCAAACGTTCGCAAGCGTCGCTAGCGAGGAGAGGGCCGCTGCTTTACTAGAGACCCGGGTTCAGCTACCAAATGAAAATATCACAATTTTCACAGAACAAATGACCCGCCTATTTTGTCAAGCTGACCCGGACATGCCTGAGGAGCAAAAAAAAAATCGTTTACTCATGCGAGGGGTCAAACAGGAGATCTTCGCGGGACTAACGAGGAATCTACCGAACACCGTCCCAGAATTCGTATCGGAGGCGACCACTATCAAAGAGACCCTGGAGATGCGCACCAGACAGTATTATCATCGCCTGACTCCCGGCTGCGCTGCTGCTCAAGCCATTGACTCAGAATACCTGCGTGAAACGATCCCAGCAATCGTGCGGGAAGAGCTGCACAAGGTGTTTCCTTCGACGCAGCCTTAAGTGGATTCGATCATTCCCATTGTGCGAGAAGAAGTTCTGCAATCGCTTCTAATTCCCCAAGCAACGCTGCCCGAGCCGGAAGTTATGAGCTACGCCACTGCAGTGCGCCGCAACGCTCCTCCCCGTCGCCAAAACTTGACCCCGTTGCACTTCCGTCGGCAGACGCTACCGCCGCAACCACCCCCACCGACGTCCTACCGTTCGCCAGCAGGCCAGCGCGGTGCGCCGAGAAAAACCAACGTTTGGCGAGCTCCTGGCAACCGCCTGCTCTGATACCACTGCGGCGAGGCCGAGCACACCTACCACCGTTGCCAGTACCAACAGACCGGACAACGTGGCTTCGCCGTCATTGCACCACGTCCGCAGTCAGGGGAACAGCCACGTGACATCACCGACTACCTGACAAGAACTCAATGGGCACCACGAAGTCCTTCCCATTCACCGTCACCAAGCCGCCGCATGTCAGCGCACCACCGGCAGAACTCTGGCCCAACGCGGGGCCGGTCTCTTAGACCGTATCCGGGAAACTAAGGGCAGCAACCGGTGGAGGTGCGGTTGCTGTGCGACGAACTCTCGAAGATCCTCCGATGACGACGACGCTGTTACGGAGCTTTCCGAACACGACGGCAACCAGGCAAAGTACTGACGACGAAACCTCACTTACCGAAAGTGACCTGACGACGCAACATGGAAGCAGTGGAACAAGCCGGCACAGCCATGACCCGACGCCACGCCCTAACTGCAACGCGAGGCAGCGAACTAGCGACCTCGACGTTCTTATCAACGGCCACAGTGTGACCGCTCTCGTCGATACTGGAGCTGACTATTCCGTCATCAGTGGGTCGGTCGCCGCGAAGTTGAAGAAAGTGTGGACAGGTTGGGAAGGCCCCGAAATCCGCACAGCCGGAGGTCATCTCGTAACGCCGGCAGGAATCTGCACAGCGAGAGTAACCGTAACCAGCCGTACTTATCCTGAAGACATCGTAGTCCTACAGCGTTGCTCGAGAGATGTCATCCTTGGCATGGACTTCTTATGCCTTCATGGTGCAGTCATCAACATAAGAACAAAGCCGATAATACTATCCACAGAAGAAGCACTACCGCCACGCACGCCATCAAGAAACCAAGCCGTGAATGTGCTCGAAGAAAAAGTAACTATTGCGCCTCGCTTCAGCGTCATTATTTCAGTCGGCGCTCCTAAATCACCTGACTTGGAAGGCATCATTGAAGGCAGTTAGCATCTGTTGGTCACCCGCAACATTTGCGTCGCAAGAGAAATTGCAGAGCTGTGGGGAGGCAAATCAACGGTTATGCTCACAAGTTTCAGCAATGAAGCCGAACACGTGAACAAAGGAACGATGGTCGCATGCATCGAAGAAATTGCGGAAGCCACCTGTGATTTCAACCTCACCGATTCTGCGGAACCTTCTCGGAGGAATCAAGCCCCTCTCTCAGCTTTTGATGTCAATCCCAGCCTTCGGAACCATGAGTAAGGACAGCTGAAGGCCCTGCTCCAACAACATGAAGACACGAAGATGTTTTCGTCGTCATCGAAACTTCGGCAGACCCCAATCACGAAACATCGCATCATAATCGTGGAGAATTCCAGACCACTCTGCCAGAGTCCGTAGAGTGTTTTGACGCAAGAACACGAGGCCATGAAGAGACAAGTTGATGAAATGTTGCGGGATGACATAATGCAGCCGTCCAAGACTCCATGGGCGTCCCTCGTGGTGTTAGTGAAGAAAAAAAAAGATGGAACCCTACGTATTTCTGCGTCGATTATCGTCGCCTGAACAAAATCACAAGACAGGACGCGTATCCTCTCCTACGAATAGATGAAGCACTGGATTGGCTTCATAACGCTAAATATATTTCGTCAATGCACCTCAAGACTGGCTATTGGCAAATCGAAGTGGACAAAAGAGACCGAGAGAAGACGGCATTTATAACACCGGACGACCTCTTCGAGTTTAAAGTAATGCTTTTGGGTCTTTGCTCAATACCTGCCACTTTTTAACACGTTATGGATATAGTACTGGCAGGATTGAATAGGCAGACTTGTCCTGTGTACTTGGACGATGTCGTCGGGTTTTCCTCGAGTTTCGACGAGCATTTTCAGCGCCTTGAAGCAGTACTTCAAGCCATAAAGACGTCCACACTCACACTAAAGCTAGGAAAGTGCAGATTTGCGTACGAGGAGCTCTTGTTCCTGGGGCACGTGATTAGCAAGTCTAGAGTCCGTTCCAATCCACGGAAAACAGCCGCCATCGCCGACTTCCCGTCGCCCACTGACAATTAGGAGGGCAGTGCGCCCATTTCTGGGCCTTTGCACCTGATATAGGTGGTTCGTGAAAAAAATTGCCCGCATCGCCGTTCCACTCACTAACCTTACCAAGGCCAAAGTGGAGTTCATGTGGGAAACGCCGCATGAACACGGTTTCGAGAAGCTTAAACGTCGCACCCAGATGCCTCCGTTACTTGCCCATTTAGACGAGTTCACCGAGACAGAAATACAAACTGACGCAAGCAGCATAGTTCTCGGCGCCGTTTTTTTGCAGAGGGCTCACGGACTGGAAAGGGTTATTAGCTACGCCAGCTGATCACTATCCAAAGCAGAAGCCAATTATTCCACAAACGAAAAGCAGTGCCTCGCCATCATCTGGGCTACGTTGAAATTTCGCCCTTACCTCTATGGCAGGCCCTTCAAAGTTGTGAGCGACCACCACGCCTTGTGCTGGCTAACTACCTTGAAGGACCCTTCAGTTCGCCTCTCACGATGGAGCTTGAGCCTTCAAGAATATGACATTACCGTCCTTTACAAGTCCGGCAAGAAACACTCCGACGCTTACTGTCTCTCTTGTGCGCCTGTCGACCAAGCACCGCCCGACGACCCGGATGACGACTACTTCTTGAGAATGATAACTGCTGACAACTTGGCTGAACGACAGCGGGCCGACCCGGAACTCAAGGCCCTAAAAGAATACTTCGAAGGCAGGGCCACCGAAGTTCCGAAGGTATTCAAGCGCGCACTTGCGTCGTTCTTCCTGCGAATTGGTCTTCTCTAAAATAAAACTTCTCACTGCTTCAAGCCAAGTACTTCCTTCTGAGGCCTTCAGCGCTGCGACCAGAACTCCTGCAGGCACTCCCCGACGATCCGACAGCAGGGCACCTCGGTGTTTCTCGCATGCTCGCGAGGATACAAGAAAGGTACCACTGGCCACGTCTTACCGCTGACGTTACTCGTTATGTGAGGACATGCCGGGACTATCAGCGACGCAAGACACCGCCGACAAGGCCAGCGGGACTTCTGCAGCCAATTGAACGACCTCGCCGACCATTCCAGCAGATTCGTATGGACTTAATAGGCCATTTCGACGTCGGCTTTCAGAACAAGTGAATCGTGGTAGCTACCGACTGCCTCACCTGCTACGCTGAGACAAAAGCCCTACCCAAAGGCGGTGCATCCGAAGTAGCTAAGTTTTTTGTCGAAAATATCGTCCTACATCATGGCGCCCCGGAGGTCCTCATCACCGACAGAGAAACGGCATTTACTGCTGACCTAACGCAAGCGATATTGGCATACAGCCAGACAAATCTCTGCCAGACAACAGCGCACCACCCACCGACTAACGGCGTCACCGAGTGGCTAAAGAAGACGATCACTAACATGCTGGCAATGTACGTCGATGTCGAACACAACACGTGAGACGCAATTCTCCCGTACGTGACCTTCGCATACAACACGGCGGTGCAGGAGATGACGTTCAGCCCCTCTCAAAATACACATAAAAAGTGCGAGACGATGCTGCCTGTCACATTCCATCCTATTAGAGTAGAGTACGTTCGAAATACAACGGTAAATACGGCATAGTACAAGGATGCGACGCTATTGTTCCATACAAATTGGTCTATGGAAGGAGCCCGGCAACGACGCTCGGCGCCATGTTACCGAACGTCACTGACGAAAAAAACCTCGATGTGAGTCAGTACCTTCAACGCGCCGAAGGAGCCCAACAACTCCCGTGCCTCCGTATCAAGAACCAACAGACGACCGACAGCCACCGTTACAATCTTCGACGACGCTTCGTGGAATACCAGCCCGGTGAACGTGTGTGGGTGTGGACGCCAATACGCCGACGCGGACTCAGTGAAAAGCTTCTGCGATGGTACTTCACACCGTACAGGGTGGTTCGACGTCTCGGCCCACTCGATTACGAGGTGGTCCCTGACGGCATCACGAACTTTAAACGACGCCGATTGTGATCTGAAGTCGTCCATGTCGCACGCCTCAAGCCGTTTTATGCACGTTAACGAACTGAAACAGTGTTTTTCGTATTATTGCTGTATTGTAATTTTTTTCTTGTACTTTCTTGCATTATTGTTGTACCTTCATCTTCCGTTAAAGCATCGGGACGATGCCTTTTTCAGAGGGTGGCAATGCCACGTTCCTTTTCTTAAGTTTTGTTATCGCCCTAATACACTACACAATTCTCAGCGCAAACCGCACCTGAAGTTTTCGAGAAGCTTCAGGACTGTAGTAGATCATTTAGATAAGATCGCGCCAACTCCGCGAACTGTACAGATTATCTTGGAACCTACGTCACGGCTAGCAACAACGCTAGAACATTCGATGGCAACTGTATAAAAGCCGACGCGCTTCGCCGCTTGTCAGTTGAGCGATGGCCGACGCTGCATGCACCGCTACCAGTGCAAGTGTGCTACCGTGACCCAACTTTCCATTTAGCGGGCACAGGTTCACCCAAATAAACAGTTTAATCTGACCATTCCATCTCCTGCCTTCAACCACGTCATGACCCCGTGACAATATAGGTAGTACCTCATTTGTACTTTCCCGATACGTAAGAACACCAGGATTTATTAGTTGATTGTTTTATAACGTGGGTAATCTTCATCCTCTTCTCTAAATACACATAAAAAGTGCGAGATGATGCTGCTTGTCACATTCCATCCTATTTGAGTAGAGTGCGTTCGAAATACAACGATAAATACGGCATAGTACATGGTTGCGACGCTATTTTTGAAGCCAGACACCTGCAACAGCGACAGATCCTCCGGACCTTTTCACTACAGCGAATATCCAGCCGTGCCCACTTGGTAGGTATGGCGTCGCGCTGCTAAGCTCGAAAATGTAGGTTTGGTAATCCGCTACGGATGCCTCGATGTTTTGGGTGCAATGCAAAAGGGGATGTACACCTGGATTTAGGGGCGCGTTAAAGAACCTCAGAGGGTCGAAGTTAATCCTGGGTCTCTGTGATGAGTGAAGTGGCCGTGCGTGATCGGGAAGATAAAATTGTGTTTGAAGTGCGCGCCACAGAGACAGTCGAAAAAGACGACGCAGGAAAATCAGGGTAGTGGGGTGGTGCGGAAGAAGAAGAAGGAGTGAGGCAGACGGGGCTGGAAGGAAGAAGCAAGGTTGAAGAACCAGGGCGTGGGAGCAGTGACCCGTCGGGTTGCGGACTCGAGGTCTCAGCGGGCTCCCACCTGGGGTCATACCAGCCGTCCTTGCAGTTCGGGCCTGGCGTGGGCGAAACGCCGCCAGGACGTTTCCGCCAGGCGAGTCCGGCACCTACAGCAGCGAGCGCCAGCCAGCGTTCGAGATAGGCGTGGCAAACGCCATGCGTGCTCCAGGTCAACGACCTCCGCAGTGAGCCGCGTTCTTGGCCGTGGCTGTCATTGGACTCACCAGGCTACCCAAGCGTCGGCCGTCCCTTCCCAGCGTTGAGTTTGCCGCCGGGACTTGATCCCCGCCTTCCTCTCCGGTGAACTCTTTCTGTTTTATGCCCTTGTGACTCTCGCGCCAGTATTCCAAGCATGTTATATTTTTTCCCTTACTTCATTTATTATTAGACATTTCATGTCTTTTGAAAATACATTTTTTTGTGTGACTGCATAAACGGCCTCGTTACTGCCCGATGACGATTGAGTCATCGCAGGTTTCCGTACAGAAACACGAGCGTCTTGTCTAGAGCTTTGTCTCTCTATACAGCTCGTTACAGTCTCTCACTACAACGCGCAAGTTACATCGTGACATACAGCACGAAACCTGACTGCGCTATATCCGTAGGCGTTCATTTTATGGGCGAGCTTTAATGCACGTGTGTAGCAATGTCTGCATTGTTCTTGTTATATAAGTAATGAAGGCGTGTGAATCTGCACGCATAACGTAATATTTATTACCTGAGTGGAAGTTCTGATGCAGGATTCTGTTCCTGCTCGTGTGATATTGGAAAAGCACAGATGCCTGGTCCATTCGGGGCTGGTACTTTGGCATTCCGCAGGTATGCCTATCTGTGCGGAAAACAAATTTGAAAAGAAAAATGTTAGAACAGCGAGTATTGTGACAAGATCATTTTATAAACCACCAGTGCTATTCAATCATGCGTTGATCCACCTGTACAGATGCAACTATTCGCTGATTATTGCATAGTTTACAGAACAATAAATAGCTGGAACAATCCATCAGAATTAAAGAATTCCTTCGCTTCTATAGAAAACTGGTGCAACAAATGGGGGATGAAACTAAATGCAACTAAATCAGTTAGTATTTCGTTCACGCATAAATAAAGGACTCGTCAGTATCAGTTCACTATCAATAACGTACCACTGAAGAAGTGCGACAATGTCAAATATCTCGGTGTAACTTTTATGATGAAATTAAACTGCGAATGTTAGATAATTATTGTATATCAAAAGGTTATAGGCAAGCTGCAGTTTTAGAGAAGAAAATTAAAGAAAAACACATCTCGCAGCATTAAACTAAATGCATTTAAAACTCTCATTAAGCCAGCTTTAGAGTAAGCGGGCATAGTATGGGGGCCACGCCACAAATATTTAACCGACAAATTGGAACGCATACAGAAGCTAATATTGCTGTTTATATATTCACCGTATTCGTGACAAACATCCATTAAGAACTTGCGTGTCAGGCCTAATTTTCAACCACTTGTACAACGCCGGTTCATTTCTAAGCTACAATTTTTGTATCTCCTTTGTCAGGGCTCCTATCGAATACCCTAAGCAACATACTTTCATGCGCCACTCAGGCATTCAACTTGAACGAAGCATAATAAAACAATAGATCAATAACCTGGTCATAATAAATATAATAAATATTGTATATTTCCACACACCATTTCCCAGCGGAATGCCCTGCCTGCTGATATCGTGAACTGCTCATCTGTCGATGACTTTATTAGCAACATTCATAATCTAGAATTAAAATGGTAAAAATATTTGGTGACATTAGCCTTTCATATACTACCCCTTTTGCCGGCGCAATTATTACTCGTATAATGCTGTTTCACTGTATATATTGTTACGAGTAACTTGTTGAATGATCTATTTACAGCGCACAGAACTCGACGAGTAACCAGCATCCAACGGAAAAACCCACTTCGTCCTCTTCTTTCATGCAGCCGTGTTTAGCGGCTGTTTTGTATCATGACCCCCGGCGGTAGAAGCACCGTCCCGGTGCTAAATTTACGCAGATGATGTCGAAGGGGGGTAATAGGGCTTTAGCCGAGCCACGTGAACAATGTCGCTCGGAGCTGACGATGACTTTGTTGGATCAGTTGGAACAATCTCGTACGTGACGTCTGTCACTTGGCGAACGATACGGAATGGTCCAGTGTAGGGCGACAACAGTTTTTCAGACAGTCCCACACGCCGAGTAGGTGACCAGAGGAGCACGAGAGAACCCGGAGAAAAGTGCACGTCCCTATGGTGAGAATTGTAGAGCTGTTGTTGGCGCGCCTGTGAAGCCTATAGACGGTTACGGGCCACTTGGCGCGCGTGGTCGGCGCGGGCAATGGCTTCACCAGCATATTCAGTGGTCGCAGGTAGTAACGTGTCTAAAGGTAGAATCGGGTCCCGGCCATATAGTAGATAGAAGGGCGAATATCCGGCAGTGTTGTGACGAGATGAGTTGTAGGCGAACGTCACATACGGCAAATGAATGTCCCAATCGTGGTGGTCTGGCGCAACGTATTTGGCAAGCATATCGATTAGGGTCCTGTTAAGGCGCTCCGTGAGGCCATTTGACTGGGGATGGTACGACGTAGTAAATTTGTGCTTGGTATGACAAGACCTCAGGATTTCATGAACGACAGCTGATAAGAACGTGCGGCCACGGTCGGTGAGAAGTTGACGGGGAGCACCGTGCACTAATATTATGTCGTACAGCAGAAAGTCCGCAACGTCGGTAGCGCAGCTGGTCGGGAGTGCTCGTTTGATTGCTTACCACGTCGCGTAGTCCGTGGCAACAGTAATCCATTTATTTCCGGATGTGGAGAGTGGAAAAGGGCCCAACAGGTCGAGACCAACTCGAAAGAAAGGCTCGTTGGGAACGTCGATCGGCTGAAGGTAGCCGGCTGGGAGGGCAGACGGCGTTTTGCGACGCTGACAGGGCTCACAAGCGGCGACATAGCGTCGAACAGTGCGGGCAAGTCCAGGCCAAAAAAACCGACGTCGTACTGGATCGTATGTGCGAGAAACGCCCAAATGGTCCGTTATGGGAGCGTCATGGAGTTGATGCAGGACAGAGGAACGCAGGTGCGCTGGGATGACAGGAAGTAAGTCTAATCCGAAGGAATCAAAGTTTCGGCGATATAGGATCCCGTCTTTCACCAAAAACATTCGTAGGGACGGGTCGCGTGGCGTTGACTCCAGTTTGTCAATGATGGCTCGTAAAGAAGCATGCCGACGTTGCTCTTCGCCAATGTTTAACAGCTGCGACACAGAAAAAACGTCCGTGATAGCGTCGGTATCGGTTGCTTCGTCAACAGGGTAGCGGGATAAACAATCCGCATCCTGATGTAATCGCCCTGTTTTGTACATTACAGAGAACGTGTACTCTTGAGGGTGTAGAGCCCAACGAGCGAGACGTCCCGTGGGGTCCTTCAGGGAGGCCAGCCAGCAGAGCGCGTGATGATCCGTGACAACACGGAATGAGCGCCCGTACAGGTATGGGCGAAACTTGGCGACTGCCCATACAAGGGCGAAACACTCGCGCTCCGTGATGGAATAGTTGCGCTCGGCTGGAGATAGTAGTCGACTTGCGTAGGCTATAACACGGTCGTGTCCGCGTTGTTGCTGCAATAGCCCAGCTCCTATGCCATGTCCACTGGCGTCCGTGTGAACCTCGGTTGGGGCTAATGGATCAAAGTGAGCCAAGATTGGTGGTGTTGTAAGCAGTGTCGTAAGTTGCGAAAACGATGACGCTTGATCATGGCCCCAGGTAAACGAGGCGTCTTTCTTCAAGAGGTCTGTGAGTGGGCGTGCAATGGTCGCAAAGTCATTAACAAAGGGTCTGAAATACGAGCACAACCCCACAAAACTGCGGACATCTTTTGTGGTCCTCGGAACGGGAAAGTTCGTGACTGCACGAATTTTCTCTGGGTCTGGACGCACGCCTTGGGCATCGACAAGGTGACCAAGCACGGAAATTTGCCGACGAGCGAAGTGGCACTTGGAGGCGTTAAGCTGGAGTCCGGCTCGACGAAAAACGTCCAAAATAGCTGACAAACGATCAAGATGCGAGTCAAATGTGGGCGAAAAGACAATAACATCGTCAAGGTAACACAAGCAGGTAGACCATTTTAACCCTTGGAGCAATGAGTCCATCATTCTTTCAAATGTGGCTGGTGCATTGCAGAGTCCAAAGGACATCACCTTAACTGATAAAGACCATCAGGAGTGATGAATGCGGTCTTCTCGCGGTCCATCTCGTCGACGGCTATCTGCCAGTACCCTGACCGAAGGTCAATAGTTGAAAAATAGGTGGCACCGTACAGGCAGTCGAGGGCGTCGTCAATGCGAGGTAAAGGATAAACGTCTTTTTTGGTAATTTTGTTAAGGTGACGGTAATCGACACAAAAGCGCCATGTTCCATCTTTCATTTTAACAAGGACGACTGGAGAAGCCCAGGGGCTGCATGAAGGCTCGATAATGTTTTTCGCAAGCATGTTGCCGACTTCATGTTGTAATATTGCACGCTCCGACGCCGACACACGGTAGGGGCGTCGGTGAATGGGGGTTGCATGGCCAGTATTTATGCGATGGGTGACAATGGTCGTTTGGCCTAAAGAGTTGCTGGCAAAGTCGAAAATGCTACGATAGCCCTCCAGAACGTGGCAAAGCGCTGAAGCTTGCTCAGACGTAAGGTCCGATGACACCATTCGCTCAATGTCGGCACCCCAAGAACGTGATGGAGTGGAACCACTGACTGAGCTGCAGCAATTGTCAACTCTGAAGGGCTCGACATGGTCACCTTGGAGAGCAGTAATTTTGGCCAGGGAGATACCCTGCAGCAGAACTTGGGGGGTGAGTGAAAAGTTGACCAGTGGAAGGAAGGTGCGGTTTCTCCTAATCGTCAGAATCATATGCGGCACAGCAACCCCATGCGTAAGCATCACTGCAGGAATCGGGGCCACCATGTAATCACCATCAGGTACTGGCGGCGTGGAGGATAAGTCGACATGTGTGACGGAGTTAGGAGGGAGACGTGTGAAATCAATGCAGCAGAGGCTGGTTTGCGGTGGGCTAGGCGGGTCGGAAAAAAGGGGTAAATCGAGATGGAGAGAGCCAGCTGAACAGTCTATGAGGGCAGAGTGCGTGGCTAGAAAATCCATACCGAGAATGAGTTCATGAGGGCAATGTTCGATAACGGCGAAAAGAACGACAGTGCTTCTCTCCCCAATAGACACTCGCGCAGAGCACATGCCAAGAATTGCGGCAGTTCCTCCATCGGCGACTCGTACAGCTCGGTTGAGGGTGGGCGTGACAACTTTTCTAAGTCGGCGGCGAAGGTTAGCACTCATAATGGACACATGCGCGTCAGTATCTATCAACGCACTGACACGAACATTGTCGACAGTAACGTCCAAAAGGTTCCGGTTCGTTGTTAACGTTATTCGAGGATTTCTTACGAAGGTCGTCAACGCAGCTCCACCTCCAGAAGCTGCACGGCCTAGTTTTCCGGTCGGAGATGCTGCGAATAGGTCGGGGAGGCAGCACGGCGTTGTGGGGGCGACCGGGACTGACGACGAGCAGGGGACGGTGACCGGTCGTAGCGAGGTCTGCTGATAGGTGCTGTAGGAGCGAAAAATGTGGTCGGCGTTGATGGAGAAAGTGATGGGGACGATTCGCGAGCAGAAGTGGTGTAATACTGAGATGAATAATGGGACGGTGGAGCCCAGCGGCTGCGGCAGTGACGTGCGATATGACCAACGCGTCGACAGTTGAAACATATGGGCCTGTCATCAAGGGTACGCCATTCGGACAGATTGCGTCGTATGCGAGGAGCAGAAGGGGGACGAAAAGAAGGCGCAGCAGAGTATACGGCAGGTACAGGATGTAGGCCGACATTCGATAGCTCTTGACGAACGACGGCTTGTATCAAAGAAATCGTGGTCGGGGAAGGCGTAGGCGTCGGTAGTGGCGTGGCTACCGGTTGTGCTGCCTCGACCTCTCGACGAATGATGCGTGTGAGGTTGTCACATGGAGGGGCCTGGTGGAAGACGTCGTCACACGAAGAGGTGGCCGATGTGTTTGGAAGGCGCACGATGTCTTGGGCTACACGGCGGGCTTTAGCTTGTTCGAGACGTTGGCATTCTTTAAGGATGTTGCCGATGCTCGAGATGTTGTTAAAAACCAGCAGGTTGAAAGCATCGTCGGCAATGCCTTTCAAGACGTGGTTAAACTTTTCGTCTTCGGACATGCACTGGTCAGCCTTGGAACAAAGGGCCAAAACGTCAAGAATGTAGGAGACGTACGATTCGGTAGAAGACTGGGCCCGTGTGGCAAGAGTCTTCTTCGCAGCGAGTTGACGACCAGATGAATCGCCAAACAGGTCACGTATCTTTTCTTTGAAGAGATCCCAGCTCGTTATGTCAGCTTCGTGGCTTTCAAACCATGTTCGGGGAGTGCCGTCCAGGTAGAAAAGCACGTTGGCGAGCATGAGCGTGGGATCGCAGCGGTGAGTTGCACTGACGCGCTCGTACCGCTTCAGCCAAGTGTCGAGATCGATCGTACCATCACCGGAGAAAGTGCCGGGATCCCGGAGGTGCGGGAGTGTGACGTAGGTGGTGGCTTGGACTGACGAGGGCGCCGTAGAGGAAGTACCAGCAGTCGAAGCAGTCGAAAGCTCGCCGATGGTGCGACCGCTGCGCATCTCCATCGAGGTACAGGGGTCATCCACCTCCACCAATAATGTTACGAGTAACTTGTTTAATGATCTATTTACAGCGCACAGAACTCGACGAGTAAGATGGCGCCAGACCAGCATCCAACGAAAAAACCCACTTCGTCCTCCTCTTTCATGCAGCCGTGTTTAGCGGCTGTTTTGTATCAATATGAACACCTTGTTGACTGCATAATGTTCGTGTTCTTTGTCATTTTGCGTGTGCTCATACACGATGCTCTGAATTGATGGTCTCAGTGGTTTTTTTTTGTCCGAACTTTTGTGAACTGTATTTAATTTCAACCCACTACAGCATGACCTGAGAGGAGCCTGCAGTATACCTAAATAAATAAATAAATAAATAAATAATTAGGTAAATAAAGTTGGCACGGTGGGTCGTTATTACAGAAGATGTCATTACGGACAAAGATTCATTCCCTGCTAAATAAACATTGCTCTCAAAGTGAAATGCTCTCTGCTTTTCAATGACACCACCGTTGTTTCAAAACGTTTGAATCAACAAACCTGGGAAATTGTAGAAGCATTTCTGAAGAGGGGAGAGTTGGACTAGTCAATTATCTCTTTGATAAGCGACCGAGAAGTCACCTTCCTAGAAAGAAACTAGTTTTAAGTTTATTTATTGAACTACAATTCAATAAATAAACTTAGAATTTGTGCCCTTGCAGGAAGGCTATTGTAGCGATTGCAACTGTTACGCACATAATCAGGTTTACTATTTCCGTTCCCGGCTTCAGCCTTTGTACATTACCAGTAATACATCTTATTTTGCTGTTACTTTCGTTCTGTGTATTTTTAAAGTGTGAAGCCTACGCATGCATTTATTTACTGATGAATGCGTGCAGTGTATGTTCTGTGGTGAGAGTGCATTTTACTTGCTAGTGCCTATCTGTATCGTCTGCTCTACGCAGATGCAAATATTACGTATTTTTCCTGAAATGAAAGTAATAGTGAATTCAACAATTGTCTTATTTTTCTTGCCCCTTTAGTCTCTGTCAAAGTATGCCACTTCAGCCATACGGCAACAAGATCTGTAATTAAGTCGCCCAGCTTTCAATCTTAGTCGTTCTAAGCATTAGCGTGTTCACTGAGTCTCCTAATCTTCCACGGCTTTCCATTTCACAAATTCACGTGTCTTAATAGATTGCTTTATACAAAGCGGTTGTGAATATCATACTTCAATCAAAGGTAGACGTACATGAGGTAATACTCGGTGGCTCGGGATGCTCGTGGTACGAGCTGCACGTGATCGCCACGTCCTTATTGTGACTGCAGTCGCTGTATCCCCAAGGAATGCTGCGACACTCTTCCAGAGAACTCTCCGTGCCCAAACAGTGCACATCTTCCAGCCAAGTAGGACCTTTTCCAGGACCATAGGGGAGGCCTCCGAGCACGGTGACGCTGGCACTACACCAGTGTGGAGGGAAGGATGAGCAGCCCTGGGTAAGCTCACTAATGTGAATATTTGGACATGTCGATAAGAGGTGACAGAAACAAGTGTGCGCGAGACGAACTTACAGAGGAGGCTTATGAGGCGTCAGTGCTCGTGTGCCTTCAATCCCTTCTGTGCCCATGTCTATAGTACTTTTACTTTTACCAGGAAGGCTGTTTAGGCAAGCCGCGAAAACTTGGGTGTGTACATTTATGTACAATAAGCTATCACCCTAGAAAAGGGACGAACCGAAGAATTGGATAAAGCTCAGTTTTCTCCGCTCACTTTTCTCCACCGGGTGGAAAACAGCAGTGAACATATCTAGAAAGACGTAAGTAGTAATTCAAAGAGTACCTTTAATAAATATGCGCAGATAACACAGTAGTAAACACCATAGCTGCACGTTTCAGCTTCACTGAAGCATATGCATAGAGTGCTTCAGCAGCACAACAGGAGAATACTGGAAGACAAGAGAGGCAATGACGGCTGCGAGACGACCCCTAAGCGAAAAGAGCCTTACGCGAAGGACTACGTGCTCGTATATATCTATTGGAGGTGCGAACTCTCGGTTTCAGCGCAAGTTCTTGTCTCTGTAGCTTGGAGTTACGTGTGGGGTCTTTAACTGACTGATTTGGCTGGAACTTCTCTGCGCTGAGATGCAACCAGGAAACAACCTAGCATCGCTAAGCTAAAGCATAAGAATGAATTAGAAGAAACAAGGTTAAACTTCAGGATTGTCCAGCTTCGTTGCTCAAGACTTGATAAACTTGGAAGAAGCTTCACCATGTTTTAAAAAATTTTTTAAGCATTACTAGAATTTTGAACTCCTCTTTGTTGTGAATATCAGGCCTACTTCGCCAGCATTGACCTCTAACTGCCAGGTGGCTGTTTTGAGTCTAGAAGTGATCGATGCATCGTTATGGGTTGCCCAAGGTGTTTCATGAAGGCATTTACAAGAATGTTTCGGCACCCGCGCGAAAGACTTGCTCACAGTCACAGTCGGCTATAATACTTGCATTTCCTTACAATTTTCGTTACATTTTCCTCATAATGACTACGAAAATTTCGTGAAGACGGCACTGAATTTCAATCATTTATACACGTTCATCATCCTAAATAAAAAAGTATAAAAGTGACGAATAGGCAGACAGAGCTTCTTCTCTCAAGTCAACTCGAGAGCATAATAAAGTTGCTGTAGGAAAAGGCTCCGCCTCAATTTAAGCTCCTTCATTTTTTGCATTGTGCACTGATTTTATTGGAAGCAAGCACCTCAAGCTGAATAAATGGGAACAAACGGTGCTGGACATGGGATGATGAAAAAAAACGACAAACGAAGGCCTTCGTCTCTGTCTGTCATTCTTTCACTGGCTCTTTTAACGGAGACGCAGACTAACGACAGAATAAGACGAAGGCGTTCAATTTTCGTTCTTTCACGATCCAGTGTCCAGCACTGTCTGTTCTCGTCTTAATTCCACATGTACCAGTAAGCCCAGCTAGTCAAACTGCGAAGTTGAACGCAACTTCAGGTAGAGTGAAGAGACAATGACGCGAACAACAAAATAACCACAAGAGGACAAGCGTTGACCCCAAAGAGAATTTAATTAGAGGAAGCATCACCAACGCGCTCTTTGTCGAAAAAAAGCACAAGAACGAATATACTGTTTTATTGACCTTACCCTGAAGTCTTTCGGCTCTGCATTCAGTTATATTAAAGCACAACCGACCAGCCAATTAAAGATGCTGCTGACGGCCTTTAATGTTACAGCACTCTGATCAGTTTGCCAAGTACGTATGTATACACTATGTCGTAGGATAATAGGAACCGCATACTTAGCTATGCCCAACATGGCACACGCCACGCGAGCCTCCACTGGTCCGAAGCCATCAGCGCAGACTGTGCCCCATATGCCGTGTCTGCGCAGTTCCAGTCTTCCCGAGAGCGGGTGTGGTCCTCCCATGAGCCGGATGGCCAGCTTACCTCGGGGGGGGGGGGGGGGGAGAAGAACCGTATGCTAAACACTCACAGCGGGAGTTGCGTGGCTTTCATACAGTGTGCACCATTTGCTGGGCTTACTTTCGCACTCGAACTCTTCGTCTGCACCGTCGGCGCAGTCTCTTTGCTCGTTGCAAACAAGGTAGTACGGGATGCAGGCTCCGGAACATTCCAGCTCAGACTGCCCGCACGCTGCAATGGGGCAGAAGAAATTGTGGCAGCTACGAACTTGTGGCGCGAAGACTGAGGAAGCACCTGTCTTGGTGGACATCCTTTCATATTTTTCCTAGTCCTGGTATCCCTTCTCTTTCTCACTGTTTGCTATACTGAATTAAGCAGGAGTATGTGTTTTGCTGCGCTTTACTCTCTGCTCCTTGCCCTTAAATATCAGATTTTCGATCTTACTTATCTTCCCCACCGCCGCATCATACAAAGCTATGCTATGACGGATCGGGTGTTCACATCTCATTCACTTACCCTGAATTTCCCTTACCATCATTTTGTTACGCAGGGCTATGCTATACTTTACAATTTCCCCTCATTTCCGTCGTCCTCATTATCATTTCCCTCTACCATACTTGGTATACTGCACTATACTTCATATGCTATACGATACTATGTTATACTATAATATACTGTGACATGGTGCTGTTCGCTCTACGGTACTATTCTATGCCTTTTCTTATACCATACAACGTTCTGTTCTACCCTGTATCCTAATCCTTTCCCTCATCACATAACACCTCTTCACGCTCACTTGTCTTTCCAACTCCTTGGTGTAACGTGGCTATGCTATCCTTTGCCCTCTCAGCTTTCTTTCAGTCCTCCTCATCTTCACAACACTTCTCCCCCTACTCACTTCTCCTCCCACTCTTGGCTATACTATACCACACATGGCTATGTTATGCCTTCTCTTACAGCTACACTGTGTTTTGAGCGTTCGCTGATCATGACTGGACCTCAAGCCTAAATAGTCACACTGGTAATTTTGTATTGTCGCTGGGGTTGCAAGGTTTATACAGCGCTCCTTGCATACTTTCGGGTGCACAGCACTTGAAAGAGAAGTCATAATATTTAGCATAGTTGTCATAATTTTAAGAAATTATATAATATTCATTTGTGCAGCAAGCTCAGCCATGTGCTTGAGCTTGAGGCCAACGTTTACCGCATCAAGTTCCCTGCTCACGAAACTTGAAACATAACGAAGTTTACCATGATTACTTCTTTTAAGAAGCATAATGCAAGTAATGCACTCGAACATTTTGTTGGAACCATCTTTTGTACGTGGTCATCAACCTCTTCGAAAGTCCGCCGGGGTGGTAGCAGTCACGGTGCACGGCTGCTGACGCGAAGGTCAGCAGCCAAGGTTCCATCCTGACCTTGACGGTCACATTTAGATGGAGGTGATATGGTAGGGGCCCGTGTACTGTGCGATGGCAGTGCATGTTAAAGAACACCAAATGGTCGAAATTTCCACAGCTCTCCTTTACGGCATCTTTCATAACTATTTCGTGCTTTCGGACGTAAAATTTCCATATATTAAAAAAAAGTTATGAACCTATTTAAAAAGAAATTTTTTGAATAGGAGCTCAAAATTTTATCATTCGGTACAAGTATGCCGTTTTTCTAGAAGACAAGACATGCAATCAAAAGGCATTTTCGATTTTTCAAACGTTTTTTATGCAGCGCCAACGTTGCAAGCGTTATCAAGTGGCCGATAGAAGACTGAAAGGGAAGCTTTTAATTCGATGCCTATTGTTGAACATGAAAGTGAGAAACGCCGTGGTCCATACAATTTTTTTATTGTCTGAGCACTTTTATTTTTGCAGAACAGGACACTATAAAATAATAATAAAAAAGTAACCACGTGAAAACCAACCGAACAAAAAAGAACTTCCAGTCTTTCCATATATCGCTAATATAAAGGGTGCTAAACTAGTTCACTTCAACTATTTTTAAACATTTAGTAGATGTCAAGACAGGCTGAAAAAAAAATTAAACAGAATAGTTAGCATAGTTAAAATGATCTGAAACTCCTGAACGAGTTCCACACCTTTGTTTGGAATATATTTGCTAAAATTTGTATTTAAAAAAAACTACTTAAGCAATCTCTGTTGATTGACCAGCTTATCGGCTATAAGAACAAACATCAACGATGTGCTGCATACGGCTCAAAACAATACTGGACCTCTCCGATACGCGTAGCGCATAGCCGAAGGGAAAAACTTGATGTGCTGCAGGACGCGCTTAGCGCGTAGGGGACGTTCTGCACGTAGGGATCGAGAGGGAAGACTTGGCGGCCGCTTCGTGGGTTTGCTGGATGACCCACTGCTGGTCGGCGAGAGGCAAGCATCTGAGGGACCTTGCCCAATTGGCTAAAGTATTGTCGAGACGAGTGTTTCTAAACTTTCAGGGCATGCGTACGAGTGTCGCCGTGTATCCACACAAGGGGCACGTGCCACTGGGGTACACGTCGGGAGAAAGCGTCAAGGTTGGCTCGGTTTGGGCATGGGTGCGTCTGTAGTAAACGTAGGGCTGATACCTGCAGCCTGTTTGGCATGGAAGAAGGCGAAAAAATGCGGTGTCCGGAGTAAAAGTATTTTGTGTTATCGTTGTACGCACATAACGGGTGCATACCGATTGGTCCCTAATTCGGCGAGATGAGGCTGCCCCGTGGGGACGTGGTCAGTAAGAGCGCACACTGCGTCGTAGACAATTTTGCTGAGGTATGTTTGTTTATATTTGTTTCTTTAATACTAGGCGCAAGGCTGTTTAGATGAACCACTGCATCGCTTAGAGTCTCCACGTCCCGCTTTTGTTATAGGCAGGGTCACCAGCTTGATCGGGGAGCAAGCCTTCGGCTCGTCCTAATTGTTTTCCTCAGGAGGTGAAAAAAAATCTTGTTTCTGTCACTGTCAGTTAGCTGAAACACCCTGTATGAGGTGATTTCATAAAAGACCGAACATGCATGTCCAGTCGATACTTTTGTTTTGTATGTGTTTTTTACTTTCTATATACCTTACGTTGGCACAATCGAAGGGCATGTAACCAAACATTTTATTGCCAGAAAGTGCTCCCTGAGCGCCAAAAAATTATTTGAAGCAGGCGGCAAGTGCGTCCTGTTTTTACTGCCAGCAACATTTTCAGTTTCATGGCCGAGTTTATTCTGAGCTACAAGCATTGCGTAGACAGTATTTTTTAATGTTTTTACTGCACAATATATTCTGTGAATTACGTGCAAGTTTTTTTTTTATAGTGCTGTCGCAAAATAAAAAAAAAATGTGAGAAAATGCCGTATACTGCCCATATAAAGCAGCAACTGCGCTTGACGCGCCTTCGCGTGTTTACCGCAAAACTTCAAAACTGTGTCAAATGTAGAAAAAAAATGCCTTCAAAATATTTATGCTTCAGATAGTTACTCTAAGGAAACGGAAACGAAAGTAATAGTGAGAAAATAGAGGTGTTTGAAACAAGCGTTTCTTCTTTGCCCCGCCATGGTGGTCTAGTGGCTAAGGTACTCGGCTACCGACCCCCAGGTCACGTATCAAATCCCTGCTGCGGTGGCTGCATTTTCAATGCAGGCAAAAATGCTGTAGGCCCGTGTGTTCAGCTTTGGGTGCACGTCAAAGAACTCGAGGTGGTCGAAATCTCCGGAGCATTCCACTATGGCGTCTCTCATATTCGTAAGGTTGTTCCGAGACGTTAAACCCCACATATCAAAATTCAAAATAAGCTTTTTTAAACAATGTATAACAAAAATTACCCGTCTCATTTTTGACGAAAACATTTTATCTAAGAGCAACTATGTGAATCAAAACACGGTTTCAATATCATATGTCTTCCATATTTGTTGAAGAAATACAGGTCAAATTACCCTTGTTGTGTGCTCTCTCTTAGGTGTCTTTGATAGTTATCAGCTTCAGAGTGCGTAAATGTAGTTTTATTTATTTAGGCGAAGCGAAACTTCGCTTTGGTGGCGTGCCTTCAAGAAAAAATTATTCTCAGATTTTATTTGCGTCTAGCGTGTGCGGTGTGGCTGCTTCCACTCTCTAAGATCTAACGCGTACGCAGTTTGAAGCCTGCAACCACCTTTTACCCCGCCATAATTCTCTAGTCAGGAGCACGTGAGGCACCATGAGGCCATGGTTTAAGTGACATTGACAAAGCTCGTTTTGCAGTCTTTATGTAGTGACAGTCCAGTTGAATATGCAACTTAACGTCCCAATCAGCAGCCGACCTATTATGCAGGTTCTTTCTACTACCTGCCTTTCTTGCATTACGTGCTTTGGACGCTCTATCTATCCTCACCATTAAAGGTGCTCTGTGGCAAAATAGCAGTTGTAAAAAAGAAATGACCACGTAGCTTCATGCTTCGCGGCAAAATGTCAGTGCTGCGTGATATACGGACACCATCTGGCAGTAATGTCGGGAAACAGAAGCTTGTGTAGAACGCGGAGTCACTGGTAGGTGGCAGCCTCGTATTGTCTTAGCGAAGCTTAGAAAACACTCGCTGTTTCATGCATACATTCGCATTGTCAGCGCAGCGCAAGAAACACTATGGTCTTTAGAATGCCTATTGTTGCATATCTAGTAAATAAACACACCAACTTATTGATGTTACGTCTCAGATATACGTAATGTGGGCCCGACCTAGCCATAAGTGGTCAGAGCTGCCAAAGTAATGATGTCTTGTCAAGACAGCAGCGTAGAAGGGAGAGAATGAGTGCGGCATTGTTCAGTATAAACTTGCTATAAACGTTTCCACTTAGCCTAACTGTGGTGATTATTACGCGCAAATATGTGCCGAGTACTGTGCGCTCACTATTTACACATGCACAAAAAAAGAAGACTGCAACCTTTAGACGTTACTGCTATAACCTAAGGATATTCGCGACACCTACTAGGTCTGCTAGCATTGCCTTACGCTGCTCAAAAATATCTTGCCTTCTTCAATGAGAACAGCAGTAAGGAAGAGCAGGCATTTTTTGAGGAATACGAGACAATAGATAACTCGAACAAGTGCGTCATTTTCACTCTGGAGCTTGTTGCGAGGCTCTAGGCCGAAAATTATCTGCGCGTTAGCCCTTTAGGGAGCGGCAGCAACCCAACGGCGCCCCTCTGGACACAAATAAGTTGTCATAATAGATTTTCGTTAACGAAAAGCCACCAGAGGGCAGTTTTGCTGCCACAAAATAACTGAAACTGCCCATTTACGCACAATGCAAGCTGGCAACAAGCATATATGTATTGAAGTGAACGCGCGCAGAAAAGGTCATTTTGGACCGTTATATCTGGTGAACAAAGCAAATGAGGACACATTGAAATGAAGCCGGGTCTAGACCGACAAAGGTAAACTTCGATAAAAATTTTCGTGGGAATGGAGACTGCAATTTTTTCAATCTTCTTTTTTGAAAATGAGCTTTCGAAAAGATTGATTCTTTGTTTTTTATTCTTCTGTGTTGCTTGTAGGAAAAAATATTTCGCTGAAATATTGAAAAGGCCTTTTTCTACAATAATTTCAGTTTCCTTTGTTCCACTAAAACGTGCCTGAGTGAGTTTTCAGTGGACCACACAAACGTAGCACAGAAAAACACAGTAAAACATCGCAACATAGCAAACTTTTTTTTACTTGAGCCATGTTTCCAATTTTCTTGCATTTTTCTCCATCTGAGGACTGCATAAAGAAAGCTTGCATGTAAACCAATGTAATACACATATAAACGCAGAAGAAAAAGACGTCGACACATAGTTTATACTTTGTGTTGGAGTCGGCCTTGAACTACAAAATCATTGCGGTGAGCAAAAAGTGAAGGCCCGTGTATTTGCCTTCAAATAAAATTTTTCTCTGTGCATTGGGAACGCTTTTTAAAATAAAAAATCGGTTAGGTGCATTTTCATTCTGCCCACGTAACATATAAAAAACCCTGGCAAAACAAAAGTATCTGCCCCACATGCATGTTCGATCTCACGTGGAATACCCATAGTGTTGTCGAAGGCTTATCTTTGGAAGCATCTGTAGAGGGGGGATTTTCGGGTTATGGTGCTTCCTTATTTTTCTTTAGAAGTGTGTGCAGACTTCGTCTTATAACTTGACATTTTGCTAGCGACACGTGGCTGCTTATATATCTCAGTTATATCATGGTCCCTCAATACTATTGAGTATTGAGGGACCATGGTTATATTTACAATAAATAATCGCGATTACGATGATGCTTTATTGCGGCAAGGGCCGCTAATAGCCAAAAAATTACCAGGATGCAGAGTTTCGAAAAAACCTAATGCGCAAATAGAAGCACTCTTGGAAAATATGAGCATCTTGGTTGGTTTTCGTGAAACTGTTTGTGTTGTGCAACTGCTCTGGAATTAGCATAGTAGAGCACTTGACTGTCGTTAGAAAAATGTAACTGCACCAAAATAAGCGTGTTGAAATCCATGTTTTTCCCGAGATAAGTCTTGATGCTTGTGGAAGTGAGCTTTTTTTTCTTTATTTTGGCGCGGCTCGGTAGTGAACAAGAATACTGTAGTGGCCCAACTGCCACGCTACGCCATCTCTCTTGGTAGTCTGAAACACCACGGACCACCGATAATGTTTCTAGTGGCACTACGGCGTGTTTTCCTGGGCGCTAGTGAGCGACGGGAACGTGGAAGTCACTCAACGTGTTAGTTACGAACGTCCAGCGCGACTCTCATATCAAGCTATTCGCGCACTTCAAATTCCTTCAAAATTCTGGTGTGTTTTCGAGTCAGTTGGCATTTTCTATCCGATATTTTTGACTACAGAGATTAGAAAGCACCAAATTCAAATCTTTTTCACCCCCCGAAGGCACACAAAGGATTACTGAGCCAGACAACAGCTGCTGGGCTGTGAGTGTCAAGTGTGCTTTCTTTGATTCAATATACGCATGAAGATGTTCCATCTGGTAAAGAACATTTACTTGAATAGTTTTTAAACAAATATAATGTAGCTTCCGCGCAGGGCTTGCTCCCAAAAAGTGCGCCTGACCATCCATTGTGTGTCATACCTGCCAGTGATAATCGGCTTTCATCTAGTGCAGCAGGTTGTCTAGCGCGGAAATGCATATTGAATGTAGTCTTGGTGCGAATAGTGCATGAAACTACTTCTAATGCAAAGAGAGTGTGCTGGAAGTCTCGAACACCTTGTACAGATGAGACGCATGAAAAACAATGATGGCCAGCTGCATATGTCCAGCTTGTTGTTTTAAAGGGACAGTAAATAACTGCAAGGTCCTAAACCTGCTATAAAAAGACATTTGTGCACTTTTGTATTGTGAACATGCTGCTACAAGCATTTCGTGAGTACATGCTATATTAAGGGAGTTACAGGGCTTAGAACAGCGGTATTAGCTGGTTTGAAGTTTTTGAGTGGCGTCACCACCCTTCTGTCTCACAAGGAGGAGAAGACGTAGCCCGTAGTTGTGACTGGTACAGACCAATCGACAAGCTGCGTGCTACGTCAAGTCACCGATTGAGAACTTTGTGTCACTGCCCGTCAAAGAAGAATCGGTCGGGCGTAGCAAAAGAATGCGGGAATGGTTTTTCGAAATGGAGCCCCTGCGCAGCGCTGTAATACTCAAAAAACATTATCGTCACCATGTATTCTACGAATGAGGATTTTTCCGGTCCCGAAGACTACCTCCAGTGGAAATCCCCGAAATAGAAACTAGGTCTCTGTGGTTTCCGAATTTGTCAGTAGAAAATCTCGGGACCAGACATTTTTTGTAATAATTTGCAAATGGTGCCAGCCAATGATTCCCCCCCTCCCCCAAATTATGGCACGCGTGACGTCACCGCCACTGTGACAACGCAAGCTAGTCTCCTGAAAAAGCCCTAATGCCGATTTTTTTCGGGGGGATGGGGTGCAAAAAAAGCGGAGCCCCTTGGCTGGCCCTTTAAAAGGACACTCAAAGAAACTTTAAAGGGACACTCAAGCGAACTATTGAGTCGACGTTGATTGTTGAAATTGTGGCCCAGAAACCTCGTAGTGCTACTTTCGTGCCAAGGAAGGGCCTATTTTGAAATAAAATCAGGTTTTAGTGATCCACATTGGGTTAGCGCACTTCAAATTACAAGCCTCATGAAGCGGACCAACCGGACCCTCTCATGTCACTGTTGCCTTGCACAACGTTGCCCGGCTTTACTGTGCTAGTAGCAGCAGACCGAAGGCAGCGGGAACCACAGCAGCAAGAACGGCCATTGATCGATTTCCCACCATTGTCTTTGAGGTTGCAGATGCTTTTGTTTCAACTGCGCCCCGCTACATGGCACCACCTGTCCTGTGTAACCACTCAAAAGTAGAATTTTCGAACCGCTCGCGCCATTCGCCATAGTAACGTCCGGCGGTTCTTCTTTTTTCACGAGTCAAACAGAAACAAACAAGCGGCATCTTATTGCGTCTCTTCATGCATGGAAGGTTCTTTATTTAGTGCAGTTAGATTGATTACTAGTGATTAATTGTAGAGGGTCCGTCTGATGTCATCAGGATCATTTCGAAACTGTCCTACTGCGGCGCTTCTGTTCTTGTACACTGTGACTTACCTTAATTTCTCAGTAAGTAGGGCACTGTTGTTGATGATATTGTCGTTTTAGATGGTATACACTGAGCTTTCACTCTGAAGTAAATTGTTATTTGAATTTAGTGTCCCTTTAGATTCGTTTATGATTTAGAAAAAGCCTTCACAACATGTTTCAGTTTGCTTAGGCTGCATGCTAATAGCATGCTGGACATCCTAAGCAAAGTTAAGGCGAATCAGAAAAAAATGAAATAATTTGTCCTGAACATTCTGTAAGCATTGCGGACGAGGACTGCTATAGCTCTACAGGAGACCGCAATGGCTAGTATCGCAGCCATTAAAAACGGGTGCTAGGCAAAAATTGCCCGCAGCTTCCCTCGGGGGAACACTGAGGAGGATGCGGACCATATAATTGGTTAACGGGGTGTTAAAGTGCGACTTACTTGGGTCGATGGCTAAATTGGTTAACGTGGTTGTAGGAGGGGGTGTTAAATGAGTGAACACGTACACACGTATGCGAAAGGGCGGCGCTGGTCGAAGGGACGTCGATCATTGTGTTTGTGGATTCGTTGGAATTCATTTCACCGCGACCTTGGACGTCGACGCGCCGTACAAACCAACCGACGAGCGGCAACTGAGCGAGCGAGCGCCGACCTTGAGTATATATACAGCACGACGGCGCATGCACTGTCAGCTGTTGAATGTTCTCGAAGCGCGACGCCACATGCGCGTCCACTGAAGCATCAGGAGAATTGTAGATGTCGAACGCGGTGTGTAGAGGAGGAAGGGTGCACAGATGGTGGAGGAGTGAAGCGCGCGCGGTGTGTAGAGGAGGAAGGGATGCACAGATGGTGGAAGAGTGGGCGACGGCGCGACGGCGCATGCGCGCGCGTCAGCTGTCGAATGTTCGAGAAGCGGTGCGGACGGCGCGGACGGCGCGGACGGCGCACTACAAGGCGCGAGTATAAGATGCTCCGCATCTAAAACGCTCCTAGGAAAGTTAGTGGTGGCGCCAACTCACGGCATCCGCATGCGTGGTTGGCGCGAGAGCGCGGCTGGTCACGCCACTAGAGTATTTCTATTTCACTACAGAAGGCAATAAAAGCGGTGACTAGGAGGAGCAGCGATGAGCACCTCAGTCTGTGGTTTCCTTTTAATTAACAGCCTTGCGCATTTCTATGTAGATTGTGGAAATGAGTAAAAATGAACGGCGGTCTTCAACACAATGGAATGGCTGTTCAGACAAGCGCACAGTACCTTTGGTTCTGCATCGCACTCCCGCCGTCTCGTTAACAAAACAGTTGTGCTTTTTCCATCCGGGGAAGGAGCAGTGAGCCAGCGATGTCTCGTTGCCGACGCACAAAACGTCATCCATGAATATTTCAGCGATTCCGTCTTCAGCTGGTAGTCCGTGCTGTGACTCTTTGGTTGCCTCGATGGCACCCCTGCATACGACGAAAAAAAGATCCTACACCACTGCCCGACAAGCTTGGTATGCAGCCGCAACAAAAAATATTAGCAAAAGTGACCGGCGGCCCAAGCGTCAAAATCGTGACCCATGGCGCCAGCACACCAGCAGCGAAAGTTTGAGGTAGTAGTTCGTATATACCATTTTAAGCGAAGGACCGGCCGAACGCAGCCCACCTTCCTGTTGGCCCATACAAAAGTTCACATTTTTAATAAATGCTTGTGCTGTCCTTATAGACAGACTACCAATGTGCATGATTTTTTTTTTCATCGTTACCGCTAGGGATGTGGGCAACCGTATATTTTCGCAGTAGCCCAACAAATATTGTTTGTTGGGCTGCTTTTCACTGGCAACTCCTGTTTTGTAAAGCGTAAATCTGTTTGGTACTGTCCCTCTCTGCGTGCTCGGTGAAAACAGCGCCACGTGTCGCAATTTCGCCACTCCTACCACCGATGATTTGCGCGAAACTTTTTCCGTTGTGACGGTACGCTACATTCACCTGCCCCACTATAAAATTGTTCATTGCTATGCTCGACAGGTTCAGAAATTGTGGAGGTCAAGTTCTGTGATGTGGGCACAAGTCTTCAGAAAACACGAATGCTGAGGTGCATGCCTACGCGAGACGGGTCACATGTTCTGTCTAATTAATTTGCTATATCCACGTAAGTTTGAGAGGTTGCGCACCACATACAGGATATGTTTGGGGTCTGAACACACCCTGCGTTTCACAGACTCCACACGTGCGCTTAAATGTTGTTATAACTGACTGTGAGTCCATTCGTGATGTCGGGAGCTGCGCTACTGCTTCACACCTACGTACGAAAGAAACGAAACTGGTACCATCACCAAAGAGGGTACAAGAAATTTGTGAGCGAATGTTGCACCTTTGCTACACCTTTTGATACAAACTGTGCGCTTCAAGTGCCATTGTTGCTCTGCTGAAACAAACGAGATGGTGCAGCCCCCTGTGCACTGGTTTAGGAGACGCAGGCCTATAACACTAACCTCGTACACACGTATGAAGCTCTATAGATATTGCTGTTTCGAAGTATTTTGGTGGCAAATAGTTTATTTAGCTCTGTATAGATATGATATATAGTTCTATTAGATTATTTTGAGTTGTACAGTACACACATAGAGGAAAAAGAATGCCATGGTTTTACTGAACCTAAATTCCTAGGTTGTTGAGATCCGTCACTCCGCACAGTATTGGTATGGGTGGCGTGACTACAAAATAATGTAAATATTTCTCTTGCACCCTTGCCTCAGCGGTGCAGTGTCAGTTGTGCTTGTATTGTAACATACTTCTCAAGTCGTAGAGCTTCGCACGTAAGTCGTACGTTGACTAGGCTGGCCATGGAGTAAGGTGTTTTCTTAGTCCGAGTGCAATATGTCGTCTTTGCCGCGCATGCGCACGACCTGCTATACTCACAAAGGGAAGCCGAGCTCTCTGCACACAACGTTGGCCGCTTCAGTGTCCCAGTTGTCGTCGCAGACGAGACCCCACTGATCGTGAACCTTGACCTCCACGCGGCCTTCAGCTAGTGGTAGCAAGGTTTGGGATCCACCACGAAGGCGCACCTCGAAGCTCATCCGGGTCACTGTAAACGAAACCGCTCTAGTTATCGCGTGTGGATAACATGACCTCCATGATGATAAACGTGACTCCTGGCAACTCACGGCAGTTGGTTTCGTCCGACCTATCGCCACAGTCATTGGCAATGTCACACACACGTTGTCTCTCGATGCATTTGCCGTTGCGACAGCGGTACATGCCGGTGCAGTTGTCTACGCAGGGACGGGAGATAATACCGGTAAGCAACACTGTCATGTTTAGCCGTAAAGCAAATGAAGAAAAAAATTCACAGCAGATCCACGGAATGAATGATGATGAGTGGGGCGAAACACCCTTTCATCCTTCCGTCCATCCATCCACCCATCCATCCGTCCGTCCATCTGTCTGTCTGGCTGTCCACTGCTATAAAAACGGCAGAATATCCACGGAGTGAATAATGGAGAGTGGGGCGAAGCATTCTTCCGTATATTCGTTCTTTCTTCAGTTCGTCCATGCGTCCGTCTGTTTAACCGTCCGTGCGTCCATCCGCCCGTCCGTGCGTGCGTCTGTTCGTGCGCCCGTCCCGGCGTTCGTCTATGCATCCGCTCCTGCATCCGTTCATGCATCCATCTATGCATTTGACTGTGTGTCCGTTCATCCATCTATTCAACACTCCGAGTACCACCATTTCGCATCTTTTAATCATATATTCCCAATATAGAAGCACCGCCATCTAGCGGACATTCCAAGGACTAGACTAGAGGTGGCACACGCACACTTTCTTACGGCTGGCGCTTCGGGTCTACTTCCCACCTTTAACCACTCCGAGTTCATGCTATATACTAGTTCACTGTAATCATGGCACTGCGGCCCAACCCTCGCTAAACCTTTCTAAAACTAAGGAGGTTACGCCCAGCGAGTATAACGGAACAATCTTTTCCTGTCAGACAGTGCTCAATGTACATGCCAATGGCTGCTAAGGGGAAATGAGAGACAGGAGAATTTGGCTTTTAGTTTCTTACGGCTTGCGCTTCGTATCTACTTCTCACCTTTAACCACCTCGAGTTCATGGTATATACTAGTTCATTGTATTCATGGCACTGCGGCCCTGCCGCGGTGGTATAGTGGCTAAGATACTCGGCTGCTGACCCGCAGGTCGCAGGCTCGAACCCCGGCTGCGGCGGCTGCATTTCCGATGGAGGCGGAAATGTTGTAGGCCCATGTGCTCAGATTAGGGTGCACGTTAAAGAACACCTGGTGGTGAAAATTTCCTGAGTCCTCCACTACGGCGTCTCTCGTAATCATATGGTGATTTTGGGACGTTAAACCCCACTTACCAAACAACCTTGGCACTGCGACTCAACGCTCGCTAAACCTTTTTAAAACTAAGGAAGTTACACCCAGCGAGTATAACGTAGCAACCCTTTCTTGTCAGATAGTGCTCAACGTACATGCCAAAGGCTACTAATGGGAAATGAGAGACAGGAGCATTCGGCTTTTAGTTAACGCGCACGCCGCGAACTTTTTATTGTTCAACAAATCACTGGAGAAATCTCCTACCGGCACCACCTTGCAGGCGAAATGTAACACTGGTTACACACTACGACTACGACTACGAGGGACGAACGGGTGCCGCTTTAAGGAGCTTCGCTCGTAATACTAGGGCACGCATCGAACAGATGGATGAACGCTTCGCCCCCGTCCCTTCATCATCAATCACTCCGTGGATATGCTGTGAATTTCGTACTAAAACAGCACCATCCATCCTATTTAATCAACTCTACGAAATTCCCATCTAGTGTAATTACTTCCAAGGACATATACTAACAATGGCATCTAGTGAACAATTTCTACACCTAACGAGAAGTTGCTACTACAACATACTACGAAAGAACGACCCACACTCCCGGTCGCTTCACATGACACAAAAAGTAGCGATTTTTAGGCTGCGAGTTTGCTCGCAGCGAAAAAAAAGGGCAGTTCGCTCTCACCGCAGTTGTCTGCAGCGAGCTACCAACATGTTGGAAATTTTCGCTGTGATCGCAGCGGCGGCAGAAATATTTGCTCGGGACCAAGGAGGTTGACCCGTTCAAATAGGGCCAGGCTGGCCAAGCCATTCAGATTGGGTTGATGTGTTCGTTTTGGTAGTAGGCATTTTAAAGTGAATTTAGACTGAGCGTGTTCTTATATGACAAAACAAGCGAGCCTATCGTTACCGTCCATAAAAATAATGCACAGATCATCATATTAATTCGTGTCTGCTACAAAGAACGGTGGCAAGAACTCGCCACTCTAGTCGCAGAGCAAAAATCACGGCGCATTAGCAGTTCATATTAAACGAAACCGCAAATAGCGGTGTTTGCGAACAGAACGAATGAAGAGAAGGGAACGATTTTTTTCGCTGCAATCGCGGCATGAGAAGCAGCCTCAAGGAGCTTCACCCCTAAAAAAAATTGATGACGCTTGAACTTTGCATTTAAGAATAGGATGCAAAAGCGTGAACCAGCCCTGTTCGCACCGTCTTCTCATTCACCTCTTGAGATTCACTACAGAGTGGGCACCTCTACCGTGCCGTGAGGAAATGAACATTTGTACGCGTAACTCTGGCCGTTTGAAACTCGCCTGGATAGCATGTCTACGGCAAGTGCAGTTGCTAAGTACCCACTACGTTATTTTGTATCACATAGAAATCTCAGAAGTACACACTACGGGTGCGTAAGCCACTACGTGTAGCTGCACACTTTGTTTGGGCTGTTGATGTCGATGACAATATTTACACGCCGGTACTTCAAAATGGGTGATCCTATAGGGATGAGTTATCATGTGAATCAAAATCGGACCATCGTGAGGGTTCAGTTTTAAGCTTTATCAACGTGAAGTATTAGCAACGTTCATGTTACGTACGTATGAAGCTTACCCAAGTGTCACATACATTGGAAGTTGTTTTTATACATACACCACAGCAGACAGTGACATTTCATAGTACTGCATCGCGGGCAATCGTATTTCTCTGTCAATATGGAACTGTGAAGTTTTCACTTGTGTTTTTGCGCTATTATTGTATAATGACAATGTTGTAACTAACTACCAAATAGCTGACTAACTAACGAACACGTAAAAGTCTGCAGCATTCTACTTACCAGAGTAAGTCGTGCTTTCGTAATAGTCAAACCGAGGGTCACCAACAAGCGAACCCGTTTGAGCCACGTTGCGGTCACTAAGTATACAAAGGCTGCCGGACGACATGTAGCTAAAGGATCGGCAGGTGAACGCTGCTGTGTAGACACACTTGGCCGCGCACTGGACGGACAAAGAAAAAGTACATATTGAAAGGCCGCTAGCTCTTCGATGAACTTGTGGTGAGAGAAAATTCGATTTGAATTGGCCGGTATTGAAGTCTACGCAAAGTCGCTTTTATATTAACAGCGAGGCCCTTTCAACTCACCGTAGGCCAATGCATGGTTTGTATGAATGTCCTGGGTTTGCATAGCCTAGATGGTCAAAGCCCAGATTAGTCCAGCCCTTTAGTCATAGCAGAGCATGACTGATAGTAGTTAAAGGGGCCCTGCAACACTTTTTGTGCATGATCAGAAAACGCTGCCGATCGGTAGAAGCTCCCGACTAAACGCGAGCCAACATTTATAGCGAAGAACGCGGCCTGAAATTCACAATAAATTAATAAAGTCAAATAAAAATAGCTCTCTCTTCTCTCTACAAATCACGGAAAATAAGCCCAGTAAGCCGTTGGCTGATTTAAACGTGGAGCGCTCGGTTGTTACAGCGGTCTCCACGAGAGGGCGTCACTTGCCAACGCGCACGCGTGCGATCGCACTCAAAAAGCCGCGTATTCGAAGAAAAAAAAAGGCAAAGTCGCGAGGTGCAAGTGAGGTTTTTTGCTTGCCCGTGCCATCCCTCTCTGCTTGGTTTCCAGTGCTTTCACGAGGTGCGAGTGACATTTTTTGTTTGCCCCTGCCATCGCTCCCTGCTTAGCTTCCACTGGTTTTGTCACGACGAGAGAAAAGATAATGTGATTGCAGCGTGTGACAAATCTTTCTAACTCTACTCATACTGCGCGGATCCTTAAAATTTTTGCGGCGTTCCATTCGTGAGGTAATACACTTTTTCAGTCAATTAATTCCATGGTTACTCAAAAAAGTGTTTCAGGGCCCCTTTAAGCTTAGTCTAGCAATAGGTACAATGAGATTATCAATCAGTGTAAAGCATGAGCTAAACTATAACGGAACAATAACCTATAAATTCTAGAAAATGCTTGAGCTTAGCCTAGCCCAATGTGCGTGGACAATGCCTTGTAATGACTATAGCTTCGCGATAATCGATCAATATCCAATAAGTTTATTCATTATATTCTACAAAATGTTTGTTTGAGCACTGCATCACCCAAAATGTCCAGCCTAGAGCAGTTGTTTGCTATTGCCTTGCACAAAAAACTGCATCAAAACCAGCATCAGTTCGTAAAAATTAGCAAGACCACGTACAATGCGGTAAAGGCTAAGCAGAACCAGCCAATCAGACCCTATGTTCCTCTAGTTTTTTGTGACTAGTGCAAGCAACGGTGATTTAAGCAAAAAACACTCCCACACCACAAAACTTTTGAACAAATACTGAGATCAGCACACTTCATTACTAAATATGACAAACTTTGATGCACAAACAGAAAAAATTAGTTCAGTTACCACATCGCCTTCCCTTAGTGCGCTTTTTCAGGTGTTTAGCCAGTATTCAAGTCAAGTGACGAGAGCGTACGAGGCCGCGCACGTTCTTGCTATTCTTGCTATAGAACGCGGGACTTATACCGACAAAAAAAAAAAAACACCTGAATGAGTAGACAGCCATAGCAAAGTAAGCGGAAATGTCTCAAAAGAAGGAAACCGAAACATTTTACGGGGTATCCTAAGATGAAGATAGTTTCATAAAGCTTCTCGAAGCAGGCTATGTGGACGGCATCGTGTAAGAGGTATTGATCGTTGGATTGTCAATAACAGGCAAATGCACCGTACAGAGGCGAATAAATGCACCAGGAAGATCCGTGAAAATCGATCTACTTTCCTGAAGTTTCGAATCTTGCATTTTTAAATATAGTTCATCTAATGTTGTTTAAAGCATCGGCGTCCGCGCAGCCAATTGGGATTACCGTGCTAGAGTCGCAGGTTTTGATTTGATTTATTGTTTTTTTATTTACACACATATGCAACATAGTGGTAATGTAAAGTGGGTGAGGAAAAACAGCTGCACAAGCGCGGCTTGAGATAGACCTCACTCCCTTAGTGCGATTTAGCTACATATGATAGAGCCCATAATACACTTGTATATTACACTTACACAGTGACTATGAGGTATGGAAGTTAGACGATGAATCGATAAAAAGCAAATACTAAAATCATTCGCAACGTCAAATACATTACTCAGACAAAAACTGGAACAAAATAGATACGTAGTTCGTATGCTAGACAAGTAAAAAAAATACCACATTAATAACTTCCTGAAAACATCTAAACACGGTAGCGCAATAACAGCTTCAATTAGGAAAACAATAAATGCTCTAATTAATAGCCTGATCTTTTGTATGAGTGTAAACATGTCATTCGCGGCTGATTTATCGCATTCATAACGCGGACGAACCGTAACCTGACCACTGGACAAGCACGAGAAGCATTAGCATCGGAAAATGCATCATTCCGTGATTGGGCCCTGTGCGAGTGGCTTTGAGCGTCCCGTCAAATCTGCGCTTGTTTCTCCTAGGCGCCTTCCACCACGGCGAAGTTACGTCTGCATGGATCTTATATTGAGCGCGAGCACATACCGTGGCGCCATCATGCGGAGGCATTCTTCTAACGTGCAGCATTGGTTTGCTTCGCCAGTCCTCTCGCGCACAGCCCGTGACCGCTTTCGCGTCTCTTGTTTTATTGTTGGCCTGGTGTGCGACCAATAACGGCGCTTTGAATCGCGCTTTTATGACGTCAATACGAGGGTTTACACGCTTTCGAGGCGTGGCGCCGTGTAGCAACCACCATCGTTGGTGACGCTGTTCATTCAGCAAAGTTCCCGTCAGAAGCACCCGATCGACGCACAGGAGCAGTGGCTGCTGCAGCGCCGTTGAGAGCGGAGCCCTCGACCAGACGTAATATGCGAGAGGGCGCCACTACACCGAGGCCAATTCCTGTTGTATTTCACTTCGACGAAACCAATAGAATACTGCTGCTGCTGCTGCTTCACTGACCGGATGAAATGCTGAATAAGCGCTCATAAAAAGTGTTAGGGCTATCCTTCTCATAACGCCTGACTGCCGGAGTCGTCTGTTAGGACCGCCTTTATGAAAACCTCGGGGATGGAGCGTGCTGCTATTGTAAAATGTAATGAGCCAATCCGTGTCTAATTGAAGCTTCAAATGGGAATTAACGCATGCTCGCGACGAAGAAACGCACTTTTCGCGGCAAAAATGCGCGCAACCTTGCCACTTCATTCATTGTAGCTTCGCATCTATTAGCGACATCAACTTGACACTCGCCCCCTAGCGGCGCCGCCTTAAAACGCCGCTAACGTCGCTAAAACGTCTCTAACCTTGAAAGGAACAATGTCACCACGTTGCGCGTGTTGAGAAGCAGCCGCATAGGTAACTCATTTTCGGCATGCCTCGCGCGCGATCCCGTTAAAAAAGAAAGCGATGTCCAAAGATCATTGAAGTGTGCCACAATGCGTGGCATCGCAGTGGAAAGATGGCGACGTATGATTATATCACTTCCCGAAAGTGGCAGACGACGCGCGAGATAGAACGGTGTGAATCAGAAACATACGCATCGGAAAGCAGGTGACAGACAATACCCCAGTTTGCTTTAATCAATTCGCTCAGGAGGACCTAATTCTCATCGGAGAGTACACCATTACGTAGCATGTGTACATTCTTATCACTATTCAGGCTTTTATAAATATGGAACATAGTTTGTTAATAAAAGCATGCGCTTTAGGAAATTTGTTGCGTTGCGCATTTGAGTGTATTTTTCACACATGCTCGTTGTCTGCGGAAGTCGTGACGCTATACCGATTCTCGAATTAAGCTGCGGGTCATATTTTATTTTGCATGTGTGTAAATATACATGCACGCTAACGCGCGCGTGCGCGTACGCATGTTCATGCTAACAGCCGTGAGCACCTTTAACACGAGCGCTCCGCCGCATGTCCTGCAGCAGTTTGATTGACGCTGACACCACGTACGTTTGGGTTCTGTTGCCAAGATGCTAGCCATACATGCCGACATACCATCCAGGCCCACCGAGGTATTATCTCGGCAAAAGCGCCCAGCACTTCGCGACTGGCATCAATCAAACTAACCATGGCCTCGCATCGAAGTGTTTATGTTAAAGGTGCTGATGGCTGTTGATATATTACGTCCGTGTATTCGTAGCGTGCGTAGTGTGTGTTCATATATCTGCTTTGAATATCAACTACTGCCTACACAAACAAGTGAACGTTGGGAAGCAGATGACCTTACTTATTAGAAATGTAATAAGATGTATCGGTAAACAAAAAAAGAGCAAAAAATAATCGAAAGTATGATTTACGTTAGCTCGAGATACACTGGCTGCGACAGTCCTCTATTCTGTAATCAAGTGAATGGCATGCGTATTCAGCTTTTGACGGGACAACGAAACTCAGTACGATACATGCAAGTCACAGCGCGAGTCACAGTTTAGTTACCTAAAACTGTTAAGGCCTTGCCCGTAGCCGCTCTGCAACGCAGCGCAAAAGTGCTAGCATCATTCGGCGAGGCCCGCTACGTATGATCATTTGCCTTCTCCAACCTCGGGCTCGCTAGACAGGCTCTTCAACTTAAAGTAAATCTGATGCCGTTTGCTGAAGAGGCGTGATGTTTGCACATACAGCGCAACAATTTCCGCTGTTCCACCAGTGAAATATTTTATGCCGATGAGAATGATGTGGTGCGTGGTCAGCACCCTCTCGCTTTCGACGAAGCAACGCGATCCGACGCCACAATCAACAAACTTCGGTCCAGCACCAAGCAGAACTGCCGATTTCACTCCGTTCAGCATAGTCCTCTTTATTTTTTTATCAGTATTGCCAGCACACGGAGCGTTTTCTGGAGTTGCGAATAGAGATGGGCCATGGTTGGCACAACAATGTGCACAAATTTAGATTCTTGTTTAGCACACATAGGCAAATGATGCACAGCTGTAGCGGATTCCCGCCTTTGTGTGAAGAAACGCAGCATTTTTACACCTGCATGCAGCCACAAACTTTCTGTTCTGGTTACCGACAAACGCAGG